GTATACCTTGTATGTATAACATAGTGTGTTATTGTTATACTGCTTATGATATATTGATATTTTATGTAATATTATAATTTATAATCAATTATTGTAATTACTATATGTGTTTGACAATAGTAGTGTATAGACTATAGTATTTCATCAGTGAGAAGGGGGCTGGGAAGAATAAATGCTCTATTAATTCGCTCTGCAAAAGTGGGTGCTTTGGCGGACAAGACTAGTATTTTTTTTTTTTTTTCAGCTGTTGAATTCGAATCTAAAATCAGAATTACATATTACATTAGCACGTGTATGTACTTTTAGGTTATGTTGAAAATGGGAGCTATCTTTCTAATTCCGACTTCAGATTCGGAGTCAGTGGCTCAAAGTACATAGGAATTCCTAATTGACTAGTCGAGTTCGTCGGAGATCCAACTTTTTTTTTGTGTGGCTGTGAAATTGACCATATTACATCCTTTATAGATGATATTATTCAATGCTTTGGAGCGTTGATGAAGATACCGATTATGTGTGATTTGTGTGACCATAAGAGACCATAAGAGGTTTATATTGGTTTTAAGAATTATCGATCTTATTACAGTATTTGACCATTGGCGGATGAGTCCACTGCCCACAAACCTAATAAAAAGTACCACACATATCAGTGCCGTGCACTGTAAATCGGCGTACGAAAGAGAAAGAGTAAAGTTGGGTAATTCAAGAGGTTTTAAACCATAAAAACGTCTTTGGAACATTTTTATCAATGGTATCAGTAAAATATAATTGATATGAATATTTAAAAAAAGCGATAACATGACTCCCGTGAAATGAGTGTATTATTTTATAATTATAATAAGTAGGTATTATGCATATAAGTATTTAACTAACTTATATATAAAATTTAGTCAGTAAAAATTGTATTCTGCAAACCTAAACAAAACTTGTACATTCCAACGCTAATAGGCAATAGCATAACATAATAATACTTACCATAGTTTTTTGGAATGTGTTTTATAATCATTTCTATTATTTTTATTAAGGCTCCAGGGAAGGGCGACTGTCCCCACATAAAATGATCGCCCCACCCCCCTTTGAAAATATAGATATTTCGTATTTTTTTCACATTTTTTCGTATGTTTATTATCAACCAACAACAGCCCACATTTTGGATAGCTACCAGGTGCTAAATGATATCAACTAAATATAACAGTAGAACGGCAGCTGCGCGATAGTGACAGCTGAATTTTTCGTTGATCCGCAGGGGTTAAAGTGGGGGGGGGGCGCAGGGGGACTCAGTCCCTCTACCTCTAATGGTGGTTAAAAAGCGTCCCCTTTAACAAATAATTCTCAAGGTACACCGTACCGCTCCAATTATAACCAAACATTAGTCAATATAATTCAGAATTCCGTTGAGATTAAATCTTGGTTTTTATTTTTTTATCAATTGTTACTTTACTTTTATCAAATGTATTTAATACAAATAATGGACTATCTAATATATGTGTAAAAATAATTGATTTTATTAGTTATTGTAAGTGGCTATACTGTGATAAATAGGTATTCGATTAACCCATAAGTGATAACATATATATATAGGTAAAGTGTGAATGTGTGATTTTTTTAAGCATACTCACCCCACCATGCGTAGAATTTGAATTTTTTCTTGTATAATTTATTAAAGCACTAAAAACATTACATTTTTATGATGTATATATTTTTTGTCTGGGTGATTTTTTTAGTTTTCTTAAAAGCCAACCACTACTTACAACTTAATATTAAAAGAAAAAATATTCTCTTTCAAAATGTTAAATTTGTATAAAACACGAGTTATTCTTAAAAAAATGTTGTATTATTTGTAGTTTACATTTTTTTATGTAATAAATTACAAATTTGAACATTATTCAGGGATAAAAGTGGGATGAGTATGTTACACAATCACTGTTTCTATATTACATATACTATATGCATTATACATAAAATTATATATGGAACGCTTAAAACTATATGGAGACATTAGTCCCCCCTGTAATTTTTTCCCACTTTAAGCCCTGTTGATCCGATATATTATTATATCGCAAACAAGTAAACACCGCGAGGCCATAATCTGTACCGTACGAGTAAAGACGTGACGTTAGCGGTTAGGTTAGAGCCACAGATATTTAAATATATTAACTTATAGATATATTAACTTATTAACTCATATATTAACTTATAGCTATTAGCCGACTCCAATTTTTGCATAGAAGTTTGGCATGTTTGTTTCATTTATATAAAAAACTGACGAGGATTGCAATTATATTATGCTCATAATCCACCTAAATATTATAGTTTTTAAGTAATTGCAAGTATTTTCAAAAATAATCTGATAGGGGTAATAACGGTTTATAATCTTATACGCTCTATTAAAATTATGTAATAACATTTCTTACAAACTTTTACGACTCTTACTACAAATTCTTACAATATCTTTGTTACTGATAACATTTTATCATAATTTGTATGTCTTTTAGGAACTTAAATTTTACCCTCTCATTTTACATATAATTTTTGGTGGATGGTATTACGCCGCTATATGAATATATGAATAGTATGAATAATGCAATTAAAGCAATATTTATTTAACTTAATTTTAAAAATCTTAAACTCAATACATAATACCTATAATGATTTCTGATCTATAAAGTTGCTACACGAAGAAATCGGTTCAGCGGTTTACGAGATATCGTGGGTCCAGACACAAAAATAAAAAATAAAAACACATCATTGTAAAAACAATATCTTCTCAGCTCCGGACCGAACCTAACAAATCAATACTTACTTAAAAATGTATTGTTATTAACATTTTTCATCTTAATAAATCTAAACACATCAAAATAAAGATTTAGTATAGACGATTCTATAATTGTTTGTCAAATACTATTTTAATTACTATTTTTAATATTTTTTTACCATTTTATCTATTATTTTCATAATAGCACGTTATTTATACTGATTCTTCAAATAATTGTCTTATAAAAATACCAAACATGATCACATATTATTATTAATTTAAAACCTCAAATTCGACTTGCATTTATCATATTTGAGACTCGGGTGCAACATTTTTAATCTTGAAAATATTAAATTTAATCTAAGGAATCGAATAATAGTTAATTTACATTAAACCCCGGTTTATATCTTATTCCCCGAATAACTTAATTTTTATTAAGTTATTGCGAATTCATGACTACATAATACCTATAAACTTTATTTTTATTTAGGTATAAATTGTTTTTAAATGTTTGGAATTCTGTAAATTTTTCACCACGACGAAATGAAATGCTTTGTGTAGACTGTAGAGTAAACAAACATTTTTAATTCTAGACCATATCTTTGGAAAGAAACCCTTTCAAACGGTTCATTTCTCGAAAAATGGCTAAAAAATATAATAAACGAGCAGAGAATTGACCTCTCATCTGTTGGCCGTTTATTATTTATTAAGCTATTTGGTGCCACGGAAATATTAATGACCAATTTCATAATTATGTAGCTATAATATAGTGACGTTTTATGTATACACCATTACGTGTTTACTTCATTTGATTAGTGTTGCGATAAAAAAAATGGTATTGCCATTAAGTTTCTGAGTCCCAAAAATTTAAACATCTGTGCCTAAGGCCTTAATAAAACATTTAAATGCTTATTTCATAAACCCGTATCATATACACAAATAATTACAATACGCTTTCCAATCATCTTTGCGTTTATAATTATTGTAATAATTTTATTTAACTGAAAAGATAAACCACATTCTCACCAGCAATATTAGTCACTTTAGATATTTAAATTAATTAATAGTATTTTGGGCGATAGCCTTATATTCTTAAGTAAAAACCGTAACTGTTAACATTTTTTTTTCAAGATGTTTATACTTAACATAAAAATAAATGTATTATTTAAATCGGAGACATATACCTATCTCATAAATAATAATATAAACAAATTATTTGACACGGGCATAGTTCGTTATTCGTATTCTAGATTATATTTCAACATCAGATTATGCAGGTGGACATATCGCGTAAGTGTTAACAAACAACTTTATAGCGACGTTGGTCATTTCTATAGCTACCTTTTTTGGGGCGATGTGTACATAAAAATTGCAATAACTAAAAAGTTAGATTTTTTTTTATTAATATAGTACATATTAAATTAACAAAATAAACACTATTGTTGATACTTGAGGGAAATGTATTTTTTCCCTCTACATCCCTCTAATAGGACTATCTCTAGAACGTCTTACGTTATCGATTATGTCCCAATCATTTACCAACTATCGTTCGTTTAATTCAAACCGACTGTTAGGTCGGAATAGATTTCTTTATAGATCAAAATAAAATTGATTTGGCAACTGGTGTCTGGCACCCTGCCTTTTAACATACGTGATATAGGTGAGTGGCGGCGTATTTTTCAAATTTTTCTGGGGGTTGGTCCAAAATAATGAGAAACCGAAAAATAACAAAAACAATATCATCAAATAAATACTTAGTATTTAGTTCTGGTGGTTGTAAATACCCAACTGCTATTAATAGGTAACAATGAATTGTTCTCAACGATCTAGTAGAAGAGCGTAATACCACAGATTATATATTCTATATAATCTGACCTTATAAATTCTTAAATATAATTATTATCTAATCTGTGGTAATATTATACAGTATTAAGCATTATAAACGACTGGAAGAGCCGTTCCGTAAATTATTGACTCAAAAAAGACTTTTTTTTACAGTGCAGCCACTTTATATAAAACCATTTTTTTTTTACGGTAATTAGTAAATAATTGCGGTTACACTACTTATCTTATCACTTGTAAATTATGAGAACACTTGGATTATATACAATGGATAGAGATACTGTACAGCTTTACTACTGGTACTGTATAGCCTTTTGTCCAACATATTTTAGGTCAATAACCGAACAACATTCAACATTTGTTCTATTGCGCATGTGGTGTGATGTTGTGAAAGCATACAACTCTTGCGCAGTAGCTATTGAACATGCGCAGTAAGATGTGTCACATGTGGTTTGTTCGGTCATTCACCTCGGCAAGAATCTATGCTGATGTTGGACACAGTGTGTATTTTAATAGGCAGTAAGCTCTAACAATTGTAAATACTCTAAAGTGAGAACATGACGTTGTCAAACTATAATTTTTCGTAGAATTTTATTTTAGGTCTATGGTTACGCTGCAAAAAAAAGTCACTGTTCGAGTCAATGTGGAGTGCAGGCGATTAGGGAACAGGTCCTATACAATTTATAGTTTGTAGGTATTATGGTGTCATGGTGAGACAATTAAGTTTTAAGAAATGTTTTAGCGTCGTTTGACGATAGTGTCGCTTAAGTCTAAACACGCTCGAAATATTCGATTTGCTAAAATCGAATTTCGTATTGCGCTAGTTCCCTGCTCGATGTTGTCGTTCACGCCCTCTTCCGCACACCCCCTCTTCACTGTTCGTGACTAAGCGTCATTATTGAAGCCGTTCTGACCAATCGGATTGGTTGAATGCGGTGAGGCCCATTCGGCAACGTCGAAAAGTAAATGGTCGTATCGACGCACAAAGATTCACAAAGATTTGCCAACCTAACCGGAATGTCAGGTATACACGAACGTCTAGTCTGGCATTACGCGTTTCAGTGATTTGACAACGTCGCATAAATATTTACCAATTTAACTACCCGCTGATAAGACATTGCCTCTCATTGGAGGACTCAGGACTTCGTATGCCGTATTCGGTGTATCTATCAGTTGCAAATCTGCTTCTGCCTTCAAGTTTCATTACGAAGTACGAACCGCGATTTGCGATAACGCCAATAAAGTATTATTAATAATAACAAACATCAGTTTTCCTGGCGCGTTTATTCTTCTTATCTTAATTCGTTAATATTTTAATTTTGTAAAGAATATTAGAATAATAATATCTTTTATAAGTACGTACACGTATAAATGTATGCTTTCGAGAAATATTAATTATTACATATCGAGATAATTTAAAGCAAAATCTATGTCCGTCGTGTATTGTTCAAATTTTGTGAACATGCTAAATAATGATTTTTTACACAACGTTAATTTTTAGTATACGTCTTCGGTGATATCTTCGTGGAACACTCGTAAGCTAATAAAATATCATGCCTTCAGAAACGGCTGTTCAAATTGTGACACAACCTATTGAATCTACAGAAAAAGACAAACCTCTGACAAGTAAGTCTATAGTCATGACATTATAATACCTTTTTTTAAATTATGAGATTTATTTTATGTTGTTCGATCATTTTTTTGTACATTGTTGATTATTGATTAGTAATACATAGTGCCAGTTAAATAGAGAAACAGTTACGTCCAATTGATAAAATGTATATGGTAAGGAATCGTAGGAATAACTGATCTCAACTGTGGTATAGAACATTTTTTGTCCGTTAATTTGGGAAGCTTTATTTCATCAATTTTTTAATAAGACGTTCAATAAATTAAAACTTTTCTGAATAAACAATGAAGCCTAATTAAATAATTATAACATTGTATTAATAGTAATGGCAACAATTTTTAATGTTTTTTTTGTTGATTCCTTTAAAATTGGGTTTCGGTCGCATTTTAATTAAATTTTTTTATCTTATTAGATGCTAACTGACCTTTATTGTTTATTTTTCTAATAATTTATAAATTAAGTATAGTTAAAACAAATTAATAAATGTATAAGATTGATTTTAACTTCTATATAATGTATTTAAAAAACAATATTAACACCATATCAACTGCCGCAGCGAAGAAAGTCGTACTTGATTTTTATCAATTTGGAGTTAATAACAAAAAACTAATAGTCGTTTCTTTTCTCTACCTCTACCGAAAATTGTTTTTTTTCGAAAATTGGTTTGAGAGTATAGGCAACTTGTATAACAACACATACAAAATTAGAATAACTAATCAAAATTATAATTTTATTTTGCGCTACTCAATATTTGTAAAAATCAAGTAACGACTTTCATTGCTGTGGCAGTGCATATCAATAAACCTTCACAGTTGATGGAAAATCTAACAAACATGTATTTCCAATAGTTTGGAGTATCTGTTTGGTATAAATAAAGTATAAATACCTCTAAAGAGAAACTTAATACTACTAGAAAGATAATATAACAAATAAATTGTTATTATAATTATTATCATCATTATTTAATGTTATTGTTGTGTAATAGTAATACTATTTTTTATTCTTAATTATTATCTTTACTCTATTGCCCTTGCGGCACTAAACTCTCTAAATAAATAAGTTTATTAATTAATTATGGTTACATTTGAAAAAACTTAAAATTTAAAAAACCGTATAGTTGAGATTAGTGAAGGTAATCCGAAAATCTGGATTTAAAAAAAAAAACGCCTTTTAAGCTAATTTAAAATCTTATAAGTGTTCAATAATTTTACAATATAAAGCTGTGTACTTTAGTAAAATTGCTTTGATAAATATGCAAAAATAAAACCAATCACCAAAAAGATAAACTGCTTTTGGATTTCGGAGTTGTTGAAATCTGAAAGCATTTTATAGACAAAGTTGAGGGTTTTTTTTTTTAAATTCTTATCAATAAATTTTACTTAGGTACACATCTTTATGTTGTAATAGTATTTAATATTTATAAGATTTTCAAGTGACTTAAATAGCGTTTTTTTTGAAAAATCCGGATTTTCGGATTCCCATCACTAGTTGAGAGGAAAATTATAATATCAACAAAAAAGCTGTAATAATACAAAGTAGAAGTTCATATTATCTTCAGTTATCGGATTTTGTTTTCTCTAAAACAATTATTTAAGCTGTATTATTATTATATGTCAATACCAGTTAAAAAAAAAACAAAGATAAGACATTTTTACTGGTTTCTCTACTCGATACATAATTTGTAAGGGGAGGTAGGGAAATGTTAATCAGTTTCCTATCACCATAAAATAACATAAATTATTAAGTAGTATTATATGTAAGTGTAAAGAGTATCGGATAATGAAAATACTCCACACACCCACTTATGTTAATCACATACCTATATAAACGTTAAAATAAATTGTTGGGATGTAATTTTTTAATAATAGTTTAATACATTTTTTATTTTAAATAAAAAAATTGAGAATTTTTAAGATTCATATCAAATAATTATTTAAAAATATTAGTTATAATCATAACATTTACAGTTTCAGAAAATTAGGTTGTATTATAATTAGTGATGGGAATCCGAAAATCCGGATTTTTCAAAAAAACGCTTTTTAAGACATTTGAAAATCATATAATTGTTAAATACTATTACAATATAAAGATGTGTACCTAAGTAAAATTTGTTGATAAAAATTTTTAGAAAAAACTCTTGACTTTGTTTATAAAATGCTTTCGGATTTCGGATTCCAGATTTTCGGATTTCAACAAATCTGAAATTCAAAAGCAGTTTATCTCTTTGGTGTTTTGTTTTATTTTCACATATTTATCAAAAAAATGTTACTTAGATATAGAGCTTTATATTGTAAAATTATTTAACACTTAAATGATTTTTAAGTAGCTTAAATAGTGTTTTTTTGTGAAAATCCGGATTTTCCGATTCCCATCACTAATTATAATAATTGTTTTGCAAATTGTATAATATTTGTTATGATTTTTTTCAGACAATGTTATCAATAATACAACTAATGAAGAATCCAAAATACCTGGTGTATCAAAATCCGAGCCCAAAAGTAGTTCAAATTTAAAACGATCTTTAGAAGATAAACTAACAGAAAGTGACGATGGAAAAAAAGTCAGACTCTTTGAAAACAGTACTGATAGTAAAATAACTGAGGAAATTAGTTTAAATGATAATAATGATGGCGAGAATAAAATTACTACAATTGCTCCTAAAAGCAATATGTGTAATGGAGCTGTTACTGAAGAGATAAATAACGATAAAGTTTCTATTGTTCGTGATGAAATTAATGTAAACTGTGACTTACAAAGTGAACATGAGGATGTTGAAGACAATGATTGTAATGAAACGAACAATGGTATTAGTAGCGCAGATAACCTGTTAAAAAAAACTATGCAATCAGAAGATGATGTTGATTCAACCAACAGTGACAAAAGTTCTATTGAAAGAGAAGTATCAATTGAAAATGGTGATTCAGTAGAAGAAGATTTATCTAAATCACCATTATCTATAACCGAGAGTTTAGGTTCTACGACCAGCCTTTCTGGAAATTGTGAAATAATTGATACTGATGAAACATCAAAAAATGAAAACGATTCGATTTCGATTAGTACTGAAGATTCAGAAATGAAAGATTCTGACATTGAGATGCAAGAGGAAATTGTTCATAAACAAAATGGAAATATTCAGATAAAAGCAAAATTAAAAGAGAACGGCGATTTTTCTAAAAAATCGTTTAGCAATAACGATGATAATAAAATAAGTACCAACAATCTTCTTAACATAGATGAAACTTCCTCTGAAAAAAGACTAAGCAGTGATGACTGTGAGGTTGTTAGTACTGATAGTGAAATTGACCAAGTGAATGATGGTCATCCTGTTGAACCAATTTTACAAGGAAACCGAAAGTTAAGCAAAGAAAATTTTTCAAAATTTTTAAAACTGTTCAATCAAAACAATTTTACTTTTGAGGTAAAGGAAAAAATTGTTTATTACTTAAAACATGAATGAAATAAAATAAAACAAAATGTTTTTTAGGCTATTTTTTTTTAAGGCATATTACTATGTTAAATATGAGGCATTCCACGTAACACCACGGAGTCTTTGTCCTCACCGTGTAGGATTCTAATGATCAGTGGACTTCTTAGTTAACTTTGGCCCAAAATGAGAACTCTAATTTTTAGAAATTTTTTAATGCCCCCGCCATTTTAAATATTTTAAATTGAGTAGAACGTGATAATGGACATTTTTGAAATTGATAATACTTTTTTTTTAGAATTGGACACTTAACAAATGTTTTCATCATAGTTCAAAAATAGGATGAGTACAATAAGTATTTAATTTTTTTAAATTTTTATAAAAGCAGCATTTTGCTTTGAAGTACCATCAAATTGGAAATCATTTTTATCGTTTTACTCCTATGAACTAAATCTTATTCATGTCGCTATTTTATTTTTCTCTCTTTTCTAATTGTCCAAACTAACTCTTTATATTATTTTTAATTCTATTTCTTCTGGTCCCGCCACTTATATGTTATATCTACTACACAATATATATGTTACATTTACTGTATTATTTTATAGCTACAGCTATGTATTAATATAATTTTATTTTTATTTTGCAGCAATTTGAAAGTTTTTGTACACAAAAAATTGCTGAAAATATTACTGAAAAAAACTCATTGGGTAAAGAGAGGTCAGAAATTCATTTACTTATGCAAAGAGAAAAAATTTGGCGACTAAGATATGAGTCTTTGGTTAAACAAGTTAAGGAACTTAAGTCTATAATCAACAAGCATAAATCTGACCTGAAAACTGATGAAAGTGCAAGACCACTCATTCTTAACAGAACTGTGGGATTACAAGCAATATTATGTGTTAAGGTTTGCTATGATAAATATATATTTAGATATAATTTAATAAAGCATGTAGATAATGTTTAAAGCCAGGCAAGGTCTTCTTAAGTATACTTCTGTTAAAAAAAAAAAATAAAGGATATTTTACAGTTTCATGTACAATGTGTATGTATCACACTGATCTAACAGATTTATATAAATTTTATATAACGATTCTCTCAGAACATCACTTGATCACTCTATTTAGATATGTATTATTAAATATCAATTTACATTGCCACAATAAACAACACTTCACCTTGAATAAACAAATGGTTGAAGTTTTTCTTTTAACAAACTAAAGCAATATTTTCATAATAAGCATCGATATGTTCTGCATATGCAAGCAAGCAAACGGATATATTTAAGAGACCAATATTTGATATGTGTTTTAGGGCTAACCATGAGTTTGTTATAGTGTAGCTTCAAAGTTTTTGCAAAATATTATAGTTATTGTTTTTGTATGATCACACATAACTACAGATACGTTGTAATTAACTTTGTGATTACTAAAATTGAAATAGTGAAATTAGGTATAAATGATAAGCTTTAAAGGATGTCGTACTGCTATTTATTAAGGAGTTGGGTATAGGCAATTTTTTTGCAAAATCTCAATTTAAAGCTTAAATTTTTTTTGAACTATTAGATTAGCAATAAGAATTCTTTTTAGGCAGTTAATTTATTTTTCAGACTATCGCAGCATCTTTGTCATTGATTTTAAATATTTTTTTTATCTAAACATAGTTTTCTAATTCCAAAAACACGGCTTACTGAGTGGTTTTAGAGTAAAAAACCCAATTATAAATGTTGAATGTGAGAATTTTTTCTATGTTTTGTTGGAAACCAATTTTCGATAGTTTGTTTGGATATGGAACAATATGGCATAAAGAAATGGCATATTTTTAATTATTCAAATGTATCTATCTTAAAATTAAAATATAATTTTTAAAATCTAATGCCAACAAAGCATAGTTAAAGTTCTCATCTTTCAAACAATTTATAATTTATATCTCTGCTTGCATTGTAGACTTCATACCATTGGAAATACAAAAGTACTATTATGGTGCTATTATTTTGAGGTACAACGTCCCCTTAAGTGTTTTATGATATAATGTTTGAAAATTAAAAAAAAATATCCTGGCTCTGATAATTTTAATATGATAAGAGTCCAGGGTAGAACGAATAAATATTTTGTATTTACATACAACTGTTATGTGTTTTGTAGGAGCATACGAGATTGCCAAAAAGATTGATGTCAACACAATTTGATAGTAACGATGTAGATATTATTAGTGATGATGATGACGTTGCTGTAACACTTTCAGACAATCCTAGTATTAAGACGTCTTCTACTCCAGTTAAGTCACCTCCTGTAAAGGTTAGAAAAATTAAACTAATTTGTATTTAAGTGCCTTGGGAAGCTTTTAATTTGTATTTTGTTATGTCAGCCAACTACACCAGTCAAAGATAAATCAACCCAAGCTGTGATAAAAGATGTTCCTCCTGCAGTTCCTTTGAATTCTATAAATAATGGCACAATTGATTTGACTGATAATGATGATACGCCTGACATAACATCTAGGTCATTCTCGGAACAACAATCTATCAAAATTATAAGGCGTCCGACAGTTAATTCAGTTTTATTACCTTCTTCACCTACAAACATGGTAATTATTGTGTATTTTTAATAATTAAAGATCTTGGAATATGTGAAAATTAAATATATTTTTACAATTGAATCAGAAAATGTGAGGCAGAAAGGGAAAGGGACCTCTTATCGCGAGAATCCAAATTGCAGGAGAGGCCAAAACATCGATCAGGGTTGGAAACATTTAAGGAAAAATTTTATTATCTACTTAAGGACATTTAATTTTAATTTTTGGTTAAGTTTCATTCTTAAGTATGTAAAATAAAAAGTTGGCAACATTTCAAAACTTCAGTTTTTTTTCTCAAAAAACCTATTTTTCAAAAAAAAATTCCAACAAATATAAGCCATATATAATAAATATACATTTTTCGTCCAATTTTCAAGATAGAAGAATGATTCTGGTCTCAAGATGTTCGGAATTTAGTGCAGAATTTGGAATAACCAAAAATTTTAAATTTGATATTTGCGACAAGAGATCCCTTTTAATAATAATAATTTTTATTTGATTTATGCCTGAAGGCATAAATACAGCTAAATACAAATGTAATAAACATCATAGTTTAAATATATCGAATAATAATAATACTAATAATAATAGATTCCATGCAACAAATCATATCAAGTAAGATAATAAATACATAAAATATTAACAGTTTAGACAATTTAAGAGTGATAACAATTTATTTTTTTATTAAATATGCATTCAAAGACACGCTGACATAAAACTAAAATAGTATTACGGACTTAATAAGTTAGAATGCTATCATGAATTTCGGCACAAAATGAATAAAACAAATTGACAGTGTGAGTGCTAAATCATGAAGCCTATCAATCGATGTAAAGTGGCTGTACAGTGTTCTATGCTTCAAAAGGTAAAGCTTTAAGAGTTGAAAGAAGGAACTGCCAAATTAATTAAACTTAAAAGATGGCTATCATCAATTGAGCCATGAATTAGATAATAAATAAAAATAACATGTAGGATAAGATGCCTAGAATTTAAGGAGTGTGTACCAAAGGCTTTTCTTAGAGGCTAATAGTTATGATCATTGATTACTATTGCAGGTGAAAATTTGTAATTTGATTAGCGTACAAATTGATTTTGCACACATTCAAGTTTTTTTTATAAACAGCTTGAAACGGATTCCAAATAACTAAACAGTATTCAAGTAATGACTAAACTAGTGTCATGTATAAAACTTCAAGCGGGTTAATATGCGAAAAAGTCTTGCGTATTTCTTATAATAAAACCTAGCTTTTGTGTGTTCTGAAAAAAAATTGTACTAAAAAAATGACTAGTCTTTAATTGGACTTACTCGTGGTAAAGGATAAAAATTAGAGGAATAATTAAAAATAGTAGGATTATTTTTACGTGTAAATGTAATTTAATTGCACTTATCAACATTAAGTTTGAGACAATTATGAAGGTCCTAGACGCTTAAATTATTCAAATAATTTTGCAATTGGAAGCAGTTCGACTCAGAATAAATAACATGAAATAATTTTAAGTCATTGGCTAATAGACTAAAGTTTGTTTTATTAAAAACCGAACACATCGTTCATGTATAAATTGAACAGTACCGGTGAAATATGTCCGCCTTGTGGTACACCTGATGGTACGTAATTGACTGAATTAAATGATTTGATTCTTATATCAGTATAAACAAAGTTAACCTGATAACCTTTTCAATCTCATTAGCATAAAAGTTACTATAAGACATTAAATTGGTCATTGTTGGATATATGTGAACAAAATCCTCGTTGTTGGGGTATGAGATGCTCGTAAAAATAAAAGTAAAGTTTAGAAAGTATAATGGATTCAAAAAGTTTAGGGATAGTAGACATGAGACTAACGAGTATGTAGTTTGTATGATTGGATCTATTCCATTCTTAAAAATAGGTTTTACAAAAGAAGATTTTAAACAATTAGGAAATTTACCAGTGGAGAGATATTAAGAAAATAAAGAATACCATTAGGACAGGAGGAGGAATTATAACCACATTTTGCACAGAATAGAGAAAATATCTTCAACAGTAATTTACAAGGAAATGTTGTCAACACAATCAGGATTACAAACTTTAATTTGTTGGGAGGTTAATAAATGAATAGGCAATGAATGGGCAATTTTTTTTTTTATTAATTTACCAAGTTTGCTATTAAACCATATGATTCAATGTTGAACATTAAAGCATTCTTTAGGTACATACTTTATAAACAAATATGAGATAAAATATAAATGTTTGAGATTCTCGTTTATATTATTACTAGAAAAAACTTACGACCAATTACTTTTTAATTACCATATCAACTGTTATTTATTCTAACGAGTCAATTTTAGTAATTACATAATATATTTTTACACAATTTTTATATTTGTATGTAGACTCGAACTATAACAACACAAGTTTCTCCAAAACCAGTAGCTTACATTGGGATACCATCAACTTCTAACTTTTTAGTTCAAACAAGTACAGCTGCAGTGAGTTACGCATTATTGGTTATGTTTTGTACTTGTATATTTGTATTTATTTTGATAATATTTTAATAAATTATATTTTTGCAGCCTAGCCAATTCACTACTGTACAACATGTAACTACCACAAATTCAAACTCAACTAATAAAAACATAAAACCTTTCTTGTTCAAAGATGGTAAATTTATTCCTTTACAAAGTAAGTCATTCATGAACAGGGTTATTCACGTAAGATAAACAAGTTATTATCTCAGATGATTTAGTGAAGGTGTAGTATTCACTAGAGATCTTTTATACCCAAATACCCAGGTACAAGAATTTCAAGTAACCATTATTTTAACATGAGTATTTAAAAAAAAATTATAATGGGTAACTGAACCAAACCTTAATTAAATGGGTACCCAAAATTCTTGTTCCCGAGTAATATTCAAAATTCTGGATATATAATTTTACGAACATTGGTAAAAATAAATAACTCTAGTATTCACTCAACTTCTAAACGATAAGAATGTATGTGTGGTGAAACTACTCCTGTCTATATTTTAAACCAAATTTAAGGTTTTATGAGAAGGGATGAAAGTAGGTAAATTTAAGCGTTATAGTTTTTAACTAGTTTTTGTAAAATAAATTAGAATCAAATATATTTATTTTATTTTTTGATAATGTCTGGTTCATCTTATGTGAATCACTCTGTGTGCAAGAAATATATACAATATTATTTTTACTTTAGTTGCGCCAGTAAATTCACGGTCACCTACTGCTGTTACATTAAACACGCCCAGGTTACAAGCAACTCCTGTAGCAAGATTACAGTTAGGAATACCATCTAACTTACAAGCAGTGACACCTTTAAGAGTATGTTAAATATTTGATAAATATTAATTTTTATCCTTAAAATATTTATTGTTGGATATAAACTGATTAAAAATAACAAGCTAATTGTTTGTTATCAATTATCATCATGCTACTTTACTTAAAAAGAAAGCTTAAAACACTAAATTTGAAACGGTTTTTTATAACATTCTTACAAAGGAACAATACAAGGAATTTACAAAGGCAATTTTGTTGTTTTTACAAGAATAAACACGACTGCAATAGAATAAACTTTCTTTTTAAGTATGAGAGTAGTCTTGTACATTATTGAATGATATATCTTAAAAAAAAAAATATTTTTTAATTCTAATTAAAATTATAATAGCATCCTGCGCCACTGCCTTCAATACCAAACCAACGAAATTTGCCTTCATGGAAAAAATTACCGCCTGCACCTAAGCTGAGTATCACCAAAGGCACTGAGAATGATCCACATCCAAATGGTCGAAACAAATAATTATCTACATACAATTTTAGAATGTAGGAAAAATTATCAATTTTATTAATCATTATAGGATTGGTGCTGTCTTGGAATCTTGTTCTCAATAAATCTCATGCTGAAATAACAAGTTATCAAATTTATGCTTACCAAGAAACCGTTGAATTGCCTAAATTTGATCTTTGGAAAAAGATTGGTGAAGTAAATTCCCTTCCATTACCAATGGCTTGTTCACTTACACAAGTATGTAATTATTGTTTTATATATGTTTGTGTTTATTACACGTTAACTGATATACTTGTTTATAGTTTATGCAAGGACAAAAATACCATTTTGCAGTTCGAGCAGTTGACGTTTATACAAGAGCGGGCCCATTTAGTGTACCTCAGAGCGTTCACTTGATATAAATTTTTTATTTATTCCACTTTAGTCAATCGTCAAGTCATATTATTAAAGTATTGTGTATATTTATCTTAGTTTATAACGTTTTGAAAAATCATAATGATATATTGGTGACAAATTTTATTTTTATCACATGTATACTTGTAATATTAACATTTTTGACTTAATTTTGTACCAATCTGTTTTGTTATTTTTGTGTGTGTGTGTGAGAGTTTTATTATATTCAGTAAGACAACATGCTTTAATAAGTGTAATTTTATTTTTACACAAAAAACCTACTTCCTCAATGATGAACTTAATTTGTATTAATTTAACACTGAGCGCGATGATAAATAGATTATCATGTATACTTTTTTGTCAACCCGAATTTAAACTTAATCTTATTTTAACTATACATTTGTTTTGGTTTGGATCCTTGAAAAACTTTACAGTTGAGATGATTTCTGTATGTTTAATGTTAACGTTATAAGAATCGGACAAGGAAGTCAAAAGAAGAGTGCAGTGGATTGTGTTCCTGATTTACTACATGCTTAGTTTAGTGTAATTCGAAAACGGATTATTCCTGGAGTTCACCAATTGGGCTAAATTGGTTTCAGCTACACTGTGTGAAGCTCTTGAATCGCATAATGTTAGTCAATGTTTTGAGTATTCGATATTGAATTGCAATAATTCTCTACGAATTTATCATTTTAAGTTGTTTGAATAGCAATTAAATAATAATAAATTCCTCTGTGAATGGTGTTAAAATAATAATTTAAAAACCAATTCTTGCTAGATATACACTGTACGAGAATATTATAGTTTTCTTTATAATATAAGTGCTATTAATAGTTTATAATAACTAATAAGATATAAAAAGAACAATAAATAAAAGATAAACTATCTTTTATTTACTGTATAATAAATATTATAACACTCATGTAAAATATTCTGTAATGCACAAAAATGAATGTACATACCTATTTACATTGTATAAATAAAAACTACAAAAATCAAATTATAGCAACTATGTGTTTTTAATATTAAAAATAACATACATTTTTTTGAGACCGTTAAGTCTTTGAAATACTTTCCCCCCTTATACCTAAAGCAAGGGGAGTGCAACTGTTCTTTTGACATTACTTGCCGCATCAGTCATTGTTTATTTTGTTTAAATACTATTTCTCCTGAAGGATGACGGAGGTTCACGCGAAAACATATTAAATACTCAAAACACAATACTACAATTTTTAAAAATCGACCCCGTTCATGAAAAACACTTGAAGTCCAAGTTTTCGACAAGATGTTATTGTATAATGCGAAGGGGTGAATCTTAATCGAATTTGGCGTCTTCTCTGCAAATGCTTGCATGCTTCTTCGTTAGCGTTGATATCCAGTATGCCCACAAATTGTGTGTTCGAGGATAACTATTTATACATATTTTTGTTCGGAAAAATAAATTTGATCGTTAGTAAGAGCTGAAAAACTAAATATAAAACATTCCCTCACTAAACTTTGGGTGGGGAATGAAGCTAACATCTTTCAAGTTAGTAATAATGGTAATCACTATAATACATTTTAAACTATTATTTTATGTTTTAACTTTTAAAACGCCTTTACTTAACGGTGGTAAGAAACAACGTTAAAGTAGAATAATAATAAAACATGTTAAAATCCAGCCAGACTACAAATCTATAAAATGAAAAAAACTTGTAAATCGGATCAGCGTTTTTTCGAATTACAAGCGCACCATAAGGCAGGCAGACAAAGAGACGTTGCTTTTTATAATATGTAGGGATATAATTTGTTTCAGATTTTAATCTAAGTCTGTTGTAGCAAAAATGTATGTTTAGTTTATTGTGTAAGGACCAACTTGGTATGTAGTACTTTGTAACTACATTTATTATTATTAGTCGAAATGTAAAAAAACCTTTTCTGCTTTTATTTGACTTTTTTAAAATATTTATTTTACTTCTTGTATACTTTGCATTGGTAAACATCGTTTGTATGAGAAGTTAATATAAAAAAACATATTATAATAATATTTCTTTCAGCTCAGCGATTCAGTTTTTAATTGGAATAAACAATTAATTGGGTTAAAAACAAATAGCGCCATTTTTCTGCATCCCCTTTGTATTTTAATTGATACTATTGATTTGAACTGATTTTTAGAAGATATTGACAAATTACACTTTCGTTGTTATGCAGGGATACAGTTATAAACACCAAGATTTTGTTTAGAATACCAAAATAAGTGGACTGGTTTTTTATGTTAAATAAAAGAAAATATTCAATATACGAGTTCCAAGACTCAGTAAGTTAAGCACGTACTAGTATTACATGTACTTCTTAGTACTTGCTTAATGGGGGTATTGCCAGGGGGAAATTACCTGATCAGACCTGGTTATCGGTGGATAATAATGGTAATTGGTAATAATACCCGTACCAATCTAACTTAACCTAACACACATATCATTACCACAAATATCCTACCAGTCGGAAAGCCCCCCATTTGCTATTTAATTAGAACCCTTCTAGATATTTCTATTTTTTGGATACTGAGAGGCTGCAGGACACCAGAATAAGAACTTCCTTCGTAAATATATTTACAATCATATTTGATGAGCTTAACAGAATTAAAATAATCCATATTTATATGAGCATCAAACATTTTTGACAGAAGCAGGAAGTAAGACATCATTAACATGTTGTCTACTTATACTTTCTCATCGGTCATTATAACGAATTTTCTGAATTGACGTATTTTGGGGGGCATTGTAAGATGACTGAAATTAGAAAGGAATAATATAGTAATATTAATGATAAATATACTAATGTTTCTAATTTTCAAAGTCAATTGATTATTATTTTTTTAATATACCATAACAATGATTAGTCAATACAAAAAATAAACGAACTCAAATATAAAATAAATACCTATTAATAGTAAAATATTAACAGATAGATAGTGCTGTTGTCCATTTGGAAATGTTGAACACATGTTCGGTAAGAGGGTGCTCCCCAGAGCAAAGGAGGAAATATTCCGCCCTACGTGTGCGCGTTATAGGATCCAAATAATATATGTCCCAAGTTTGATTAAAATAAGTGCAGCCGTTTTGACGCCTATAAAGAATATACATACACCCGTTATATATGTAAGTACTTATATGTACTTATGTACATACACTGAATGCATTTAAAATAAAACCTATAATTTATTTATTAATATTTAGTATGTAATGGCTTTGCGTTAATAATTGCCTAAAGTCTCTTTGGCATAGACTACAAAGCTTAATGTCTTTTGTGGTGTAATTTAAGACAACGATTCTTTTAAATTAGTTATTACGTAGCTCGTGTTTGGATTAACACATTGTTTTTCGAATTGTTTTCTTAACAGGCGTATTAACTTTTTATAGGGCTTACATCAGGTGAATGGGGAGGTGTAATGAAGCGATTTGTCAATAATAACCAATTCACCCACTTTCATACAATTATATTACCATCGCCATGTTTGCAAATTACACTTTTTTAAAAGTCCAATGGCTTATTTGTGTTTCGACGAGCCGTCTAATATTTGTTGTCTGTTTATTTCGCTTATAAAATACTTTTAACATGGGTATGTTATTGGGCTGGCGATTAATCCGGAAATCCGTGCGTGTGTGCATCACGCTGAACGTTACCGAGTATATATAATATATATATATATATATATATATATATATATAAGATAAAAGATAAACAAATAGAGGTAATGAAATAGAAATAAGAGATTAGAGTTAGTCCAGCTGGATGCTGGAGGTGAGGAGGGGGAGATAAGTGATAAAACATTCGATATTAGAAAGTACTATAAAGTACCAAGGTCCTATACTTGTATATCTATGTTCCTATGCACTTCCGTGCAGCGGGGGTCATGCCCACTTTTTTCTTGTTGCTTTACCACTGTTACAAGTTTATGAGGTCAGGCTTTCCACGAGTTCATGAGCACTTACTTTGAATTTTGTATTATTTTAAAACTAGTCCACGTGTAAAGAAACTTGCTTTGGCCTACCCAAACTGTTCAAATTATCAGTGTAACCTGAGTTAGGTTTTTTAATTCCATACTGCACATTTGAGTGAGATTGTAAAGTTCGTTCTTATTGTACGATAGTGTCATAAGAAAAAAAGATTGAAGATAAAACTTCCTGGAATTATACTAGATGTGTCGTTGCCGACGGTACTCGGCTAGCTGTCCGAGTTCTTTGTCGATGTCGAAGAGTCGTCGTTAAAATGAGTAAAGAGATAGAGATTTAAATAGTGATAGGACAGGTACAAGGTGTGAACGAATCGAACCAACAGTCAAGTATTGTATATCAGAATAATATTTTATTTTCATTATATTGTTAATTACGGTTTATGAGTAACAACGGCTAGAATTATTATAGAGAGGCGAATAACACAAATCGTATACACCTTTAAACCAAAAATACAACTTTAAGAACATTATTATTATTGTTTTGATAACGATTTTTTTTTCAGTATATGATACTATTGTATCATTTACAGATTTCAACACTCAGTTAATAGTTAATAATTTTATAAATCCTGTGATTACGCCGTCCTCGCTATACCCACACCCCACTGTACTGGCTTTTTAATAGAGCTTCTTACATTTATAATGATTCCGTTAATTTTATTGATAAATAAAAGTAGTATACAAACACGCGATTAAAATGAATTTGTAAAAGTCGGCGTTTAAGCGAACAAACACAGTTCGGCATTCTATACTTATTTGTTCTCCTCGTACTATTCTATGAATATATGATCTTAATTTGCCTATTTAATACGCCGTCTATGAGTCATCTTAATACTGACAGTAAAATGCTTGAACGTTAAAATTGTATTGCCAATAAAGTATTTGAACTTGGGCCAAAACAAAAAAAAAAGAATGACAATAAAATATTACATACTTTGTCTTGAATTTGGATTACTGTCTTAAAGACGAGTGCTTTATGGTACAATCAAATAATGTGATAAATAATACAATATAAAATGCACTAAGAAATGCAGTTGATGAAGTTAAGGAATTTTTTAAAGTTTATTTTAGTAAAATAATAGATAAAAAATGTTTTAAACCTATTTTAATTGATAACTGATATTTATTACTAATTTTGAATCCATCAAGTTATTTACGACTCTAACTCATTTCTTTATTCTGGCTCTGCAGTAGAAAATATAATAATTTCATAGAAATATGGTCAGTTCGATAGTTGAATATTCGATACTAAGCGGTTTTTACTAGTTGATTTCATTCAGTAAATTTATCTAAATGTTCGTCATTACGCTGTTTGAATTAAAAAATATTAATGAATAAAATTATTTAGAGTAATTAGTATTTGGACAGTTAGCCGTCAAAGTGAGGTATAAAATAAATTTCGACGAAACCGCTCCGTCATTCTAAATAACATTGAATTAAACAGTATTTATCGTTAGTGGTTGTCATTGAGGGGCAGTAAAGTAATCGGGCTGACATTTAAAGTGTTCGTAGGCCCGGACAGTGATGCATGGGAACGCATGAAATAAATGAAACTGTTAACTATAATGAAAATATTTAGTTGTTTTGGATTTACAATTGTATTTTATGGTTGAGTAGTGAGTATAACAAATGTGTGTATTTGTCATTTGATCCAGAGGTAGGCAAGCTTTTACTATTGAAGCATTATTGATATAATAAAAAATAAACACTATTGCAAATTCCGAAAAAGTGTGAATTAGAATGAGTATAAAATATGTGTTATGTATTTTTGTATCAATTTGTTGTTCGATTTTATCACACGTGATCCGAATAGTTTGTAGTGATTTTGAACT